AAACCAGTGTGATCCTTCCTTCCTTTCTGATTAGTGCCTACACTATTCAGCAGGTTTCATCCCTACAATCCTTGAAGATTGACACATGTGCAATGGAGGAAGAAGGCAGCATAGGTTTCATTGAGCATCAGTTGGGAAGATAAAGAACAGGTTTATTCTGCAGGGGGATACATGCATTAAAACTACGACAGGCACAGCCAGGTAGATACAAGAGTAAACTAAGACCAAAGTGGGGTACAGAGAGGCAGATACATTACAGAAGGTCCTTATGTGTTCCCTTAGTCTCCAAACCACTCATGGAAGTTCAAGTTCCTCCAATCTCTTGTCAATAAAGAAGTTAATTGTAAGTGAAGTCTAGCTAGAGAGATGAGCCAAAGAAGAAGTAGACACACATTCAAGTCAAGTTGAATGACTCAGCTAAAAAAAAAAAAAAAAAAAGCTCACACTGTATTACATTTTAGACTTTCTCCTCCAACTGGAAACCATAAGACAAAAAAGAAAATAGATGAGAACAAAACAAAGCACAAAAGGTGTCCCTAGCGTGTCTTTTGGGAGAAGCAAACTAAATGTTCCCCATTTAAAAGGGGGAGCATTTGTAAAACATGTTTTATGAGTTCAAGGTAGACACATAGGAGTAACTATGTGTTCTTACCTAGTCAGGATGCATCAAGCAGGCCATTTAGTGATGGGGCATAGGGTGCCTCTTTGAAGTCTTTAAATTCCAGCACATTTTAGGAGGTGTCACTATTGAAATTTTGGGAGAGGTTTCTTACTGAAATCAAGCTGATTTATAACAGATAGCAATGCCATCTGTGTCCGGGAGGAGGCGCTCAGCTTACAGGACTGCTCATGGGAGGAAAAAAGTAATTCAGGGCTGAATCCCGTAGGTTATCTTTTCCGGGTAGAGTTTGCCTAGTAGAATTGTCCTTTGGAAGAAACTGGTTGGTATGAAGACATGAAAACACAGACTTTTAAAACAGCGTTTTAAGGAAACTGTTCCTTCTGAATCAATAACGTAAGTCAAAAATCTCTGTGGGAAGAGAGCTGCAGGTTCCACCTTTCAGAGGCACGTTAGGAGCTTCTGGGCTGAGTGCTCCTGGCAGAGAGCAGATACGTTCTGGGTGGAACCCCTATTTTGGGCTCTCACTGTACTTCCATGAAAGCTGGGTTCGTTGCCAACATTTAGAACCCCAGCTTCTGAACACACCTAGGCTTCCGTTTTACTTCATCGTCAGACTTTCTGCTCTCCACGCTGCATGTTTGTAGATATGACATTGGGGACGAATATCAGTTTTGTTTGTTCTTGCATTGTGATGTTGTTTTTCCTGTGATTGATGTAAAGGAAGAATAAGGTATTTTCTTGTCCCATATTTATGCTGGACTTGCCACTTCCTACGTTATTAATCCTCTTCCTTAAGTCATCTTCAAACCTAGGTTAGTAATAGCACCTGTGCCATAGTGTTGCAAGGATTTAATGAGTTAATTTATATCAAATGGTTTGAACGGTGACTGGTGCCCATCAGCAGTAGTTAACTTAAGTCTGAGCTGCTATCGCTGTTACTATATGGCTTTATCAAAAATGAAAATAGATGGACTGTGGGCCATTATTTCAAGAATCATGAGGAAGAACGCTATCTCTTTGTGAAACTAATTTCTGGCGTGAAAGATGTTTATATTGTAAGATTACACCACTCCTATCAAAAAAATTAATTTCACTTCATTCCTATATACTACTTGACTGGTTATCTTAGTTATCTGAGTTTTATATTCCTAATTTTGAGATAAAATCTATTCAGAGCATCTTTTCAATAGATTTTTGAATAATTTTATAGAGTTTTTAATCTTCAGCTAGAAAATACTTAAGAAGGCCAAGTGGTCTATTGTATTTTTTAACAGGCACATTTATCTTAGAAGAAAAATGTGATGAATTTGATTTGTGGAGGGAAAAAAGGGACTCATCAGTCTCTTCCAAAGCACTTGGGTCCCTTGTTTAATTAAGAACATTAAATTAATAATTCATCATGAGACTCGTTAAGAAATCTTGGAAATATTTAGATATAAGAAAATAAATGGAAAAAATGACTACCAGAATTAAAACATAATTTATTGTTTATTAAACAAATACATTCAAGTATATAATTTCAATATCTATATATTTATACACACAGAATATTTAGAAGGTGTGGCCAGATCAACCGTCTTTGAAGACCATGTACAGGAAGATGCAACACAAGAAACACTCATTTCACCTCCTGTGGAGTCTCCTTCCCAAAAGACCAAAAGTGAGTAGCTAATTGTGAAATCCTTGAAATAACGGAGGACCTTAACGTGGCACGTTGTTCTATCCATATTGCCGTTACCGGGATAGAGCAGTAAACAGAACCGAGAAGTGCTGCTGTTAGGAAGTCTAATATACAAGTGGAGAAGGCAGAGTAGATTCTGTTCCCCCCCATGAATATATTTTTAATGCAGAATAAAATTTCAAAATCTGGAACATGACTGATGGAGCATTGTTTTCAAAGGAAAGTATAGGTACAAGGAATCATTCTGATACTGTTTCGAAAAGTGCAGATTCGATGTTATCTATAATATATTCATCTTTTGACAGAACGTGCATGTACTTCAGCAGTTCCTTTCCTTTACAGTATCGGCCATTAGAATTGAGATAATCCTAATTTATCATTGCTTATGTAATTAATTACATAATTTAATGCTTATCGGAAGTAGGTCCTCTGCGCTATTTCGAATGTCTTTAATGAATGGTTGATGAATTCTGCCAGGGAAGTACAATGCCAATCCTAAAACACATAAAATTTTAGGCATTGTAATGCTAGATAATTATATATGCTGCTCCTGTGTAAGTCTTCAAGACATTTCTATTCTGAAAATAGAATCAGAATAGACAATATTGGAATTTCTCCTTTGTCTCTAGTTTTAAATATCATTTGATATCTTGCTTTCAGCTGACTACTTAATTTTTTTGTCTTGATTTCTGCCACTGTACTAGTAATATAGTTCATATTTCAGATTAACTTTTAGCAATGACCTTCCTTAAAACTTCTGAAAACTTTTACCTTCTTCTTGCAGGTGAAACTGTGACTGGAGAATTATCAAAACTCTTGGATGAAATAAAACTCTGCCAAGAAAAGGATTACTCCTTTGAAGATTTGTGCCACACAATATCCGACCACTACCTAGATAATTTGAGCAAGATTTCAGAGGAAGAACTTGGGAAAAATGGAAGTCAGAGTGTAGTAAGTAAGGGTAGGGGAGATGAAAACCACATGTCTGTGCTTGCAAGTTCCGTATGTTCCCCAATGAGGTGTAGGTTATCACTCGCCATGCTATCCTCCGATTCTGCAAGAACCGCAAAGTCCCCAAGCCCCCGGCGCCGAACGCCAATGGAAGCCTAATGGCAACGCCCTTGAAAGAAAAAGGAAAACTAAAAAAAATAACTAAAATTGGGAAGCCTTCCCCCCCGGCGGTAAAACTTCCCAAAAAAAAAGAACTCAAAAGTCCCTTGAAAAAAACTTTTTAAGTTGGTTTTTTTTTGACACAATGACTTGGTTTCAAAAAAAAAAGAGTACCTTCTTTTTGTCTTCTCAATTTTTTTCCTACAAAACTGAGTCAAACCTTGACTTTAAGAAGACAACTTTCTCTCTCTCTCTCTCTCTCTCTCTCTGTGTAGTACCAATCATTCCATAGGTCATATGAGAGAGATGTTGTAGAAAAGCTTAATCTCTATATTTCTATAACTTTATGCACATATCAAGAAGCTTATTTCTTATATGCTCAGAATCTAAATCAAGAGTAGGGGATTCTTGCCTATTTGGATTTTTAAATCAACATAATAAGAAGAAAACTCTTAGCAAATCTCAGTTAACTACTATGACTTATAAACCTTTTTGGGTCCTGTACCTATTGCCATCGAATTGACTCCATAATGACCTTACAGGACAAAGTAGACCTGCCCCACAGGGTTTCCAAGGTTGCAAATCATTATGGAAGTGGATCACCATATCTTTCTTCTGTGGATCAACTGGTAGGTTTGAACCACTGATGATTTGGATAGCAGGAGAACCACTATAGGCCAAAACCAACAAAACAAAACAAAAGAAAGCAAAACAAAAAACCAAACCAAACAGCAGAATCCCAAACCTCCTGGCCCTGGGTTCCATATAGGGTCTCTGAGGCTGCAGCTCTTCACTGGAGCTGACAGTCCTTCCCCGACACTGTAAGCCCTTTATTTGTTGTGTCATCCAGAGCTTCCCCAACCATCAAAATATTTCTTCTTTCAAAATAATAATAATTTATAAATTATCAAGGGTTCATGAGGGAGGGACGGAGAGGGAAGGAGGGGAAAAATGAGGAGCAGATACCAAGGGCTCAAGTAGAAAGCACACGCTTTGAAAACAATGATGGTAACATATGTACAAATATGCTCGACACAATGGATGTGTTTATGGATTGTGATAAGAGTTGTATGAGGCCCCAATAAAAGGATTAAAAAAAGAATTCTTTCTCCAGTATTTCCCAGTTAAAACTATATCCTCTCTTGTGCATCTGTTCTGAACTAGAACTTAGGAAGCAAATAGTTCAAATGAATCAAACCAGAGAATGCATAACTGATGGTACCTTATTTCTGGCCGATGCAGTGGTATGTTTATATGAAGGTTAATAACCCTGAATTTGGATTGGTCAAGTTCCAGGGATGGAGCTCCCACATTAGGACACGGGTGTTGGCAGGTACTGTCGAGTCAGCACTGATTCATAACAACCCCGTGTCTGACAGAATAAAAGACGCCTGGTCCTGCACCATCTTCACAACGACCATTAAGTTGGAGTCCGTTGTTACAGCCACTGTGTCAGTCTGTCTTGTTGAGGGTCTTTTTTGTGATGGACCCTCTGCTTTACCAAACACGCTATCCTTTTCCAGTGACTGGTCTCTCATGATAACCTGTCTGAAAAATGTGAGACCGAGTCTCACCGTCACCACTTCTCAGGAGCATGCCGGTTGTACTTCTTCTATGGCAGATCGATTTGTTCTTCTGACGGCCCATGCTACTATCAGCATTCTGTGCAAGCACCATAATTCAAATGCAGTAATTCTTCTGAGCTACTCCTTATTCATTGCCAGGTTTCATAATGCAGATGAGAGAATTGAAAATATCACAGCGAGAGACAAACACACACATTAGTACTGAAAGTGACATTTTTGCTTTTTAACTCTTGAAGGAGCTCTTGTTAAGCAGATTTGCAATGTGTCATTTGATGTCTAACTGCTACTTCCAAGAAGGTTGATTGTGGATCCAAGCAAAGCAACTCTTTGACAACTTCAGTGTTTTCTCCATGGATCATGATGGTGCCCATTGGTCTTTGAGCTGAGAGGATTTCGGCTTTCTTTGCATTGAATTACCATCCGGTTTGGCCTTCACCAGCAGGTTCTTCAAGCCCTCTTCCTCAGCAAGCAAGCAAGGTGGTGTTCTCTAAGTATCAGGCTGTTAATAAGCCTTCCTCCTGATGCTGTGTTCTTCTGCAGATAGTCCAGCTTCTGGATCATTTGTTCAGCATACAGATTGAATAAGTGTGGAGAAAAGATGGAACACAACCCCCATGTTTGCTGATTTTAAACCTTGCAGTACTCCCTGGTTCTGTTAGAATGACTGTCTCTGAGGCTAGTCAAAGGTTTAACATGAGCACAGTATGAGAAGTGCATGTTTAACTATTCTTGAATTTCCAACCTGCACAATGTTGTCCATAGTTCGTTATAGTCCACACAGTTGAATGCATTTTCATACTTCATAAATCACACATAAGCCTCATTCTGGTTTTCTCTGCTTCCAGCCAAAGGTCATCTAATATCAGCAATGATACCCCTCCTGTCACATCCTCTTCTGCCTCAAACTTAAATTTCTGGCAGCTCTCTAGCACGATATCACCTGTATGTGATATTAATGATATATATGTTTTAATATATATGCTTTGACATATATATAAACACACACATATGTTTTATACTTTCTTCATTCTGTTGGCACAAAATGGGTCTTTTGAGTGGGTACAAATAAGGATCTCTTCTGGTTGGTTTGCTAAGGCGCTGTCTTCCAAATTTCCTAGCATGAACTCTGAGTGATTCTTGTGCTGGATCAGTTGTAAGATACTTTAATTGGTATTCCATCGTTCCTGAAGCCTTCCTTCCTTCATTGCAGCTTTGAACTTTTCAACACCCCTGGGTTCTTGGTTAGCTGCTACCATCTGTAAATGGGGAGCGTGTTCTTCCTTTTCGGCTCTTCCACTTGAATCTGTGCACATTTCACGCTGTCTTCACAAGCTACCCTTTGAAGTGTTCTGTTCAACTATTTTGCTTCATCTTTTATTTCAGTTGCTTTAGTGATTCTACAGTAGGAACACATTTTAGAGTCTTTATCTGACATCCATGTCCATCTTTTCTTCCTTTCTTGTCTTTCTAATGACCATTGCTTCCTTCCTGCTTGATCTTCTTGATGGCGTCCCACGGTCTGTCAGATCTTCAATGTTCAATGTGCAAAATCGACTCTTGAGATGTTCTGTAAATTCAGGTGCATTATACTTGAGGTTGTATTTTACCTTTTATTGACTTGCTTATTGTTGTTTTATTGTTATATACATTATACTTGAGGTTGTACTTTACCTCTTATTGACTTGTTTATTGTTATATACTAGACTGCTGACAGGAGGTTTATGCCTTACAGTTGATACCCTATAGTCCTATGCTTCTTGCCCCAATCTCAATGGTAGACATGGTCAAGAGAAGTTTCCAACCTAAGTAGACTGATTTCATACTAATCACCACCAAAAAACCCAAACCAAGACAGTTGCCCTGAAGTTAATAATAATTCATGATGACATCATGCGTTTTTGACTGGAACTGCACTCCCTGGGGTGTTTCATGACTGTGGCCCTTTGGAAGCAGATCACCACCTCTTCCTTTGAGGCGCCTCTGAGTAAATCCAAACATCCAGCTTTTTGGTTAGCATCCAAATACTGAACCACACAGTAACCAGACCCCAAGCCAAGCCACTGCCACTGAGTTGATTCTGACGCACAGTGACCCGAACCACGGTTTCTCAGACTGAGAATCCAGATAGGAGCAGAGAGCTTCATCTTTT